GGTTTGATGATGAAGTGGTTTTGCAATTAGAAATGAGGAACAGGAAAGCAAAGTCAAAATGTCTACTGAGTAATGGCTGCAGGTTATGCAATCTTTAGTACTTAAAGGATGAAGCTGTGCTTCCACCAGAGGAGGAAGCATGTTTGAAGATGATTAACAACTCATAGTTAAGAGGAGAGGTTGTCTTAAGCATCGGGTCTCGTGGATGAAAGGCATGTATTGGTGCAGGCTGATGAGCACAGGGGCTGCACAACACCCTGGATCCTGTGTGGTCAGGTACAGGACCTGGGCAGCTGGCTCTAGGTGGCCCTGCTTGAGCAGGGGGGTTGGACACGATGATCCCCAGCAGTCCCTCCATCCTCAACCTGGCTGTAACTCTGTGACAGTTGCTCCTGCAGCTTCTCAGCCCACTGCTATCTATTCCCAGTGTGACTCAGAAGGATTGCAGAGCTACTTCTGTACTTAGAAAATAATTACTACTCTGCTTAAAAAAATAAATGACTGGTTCAGTGTAGTGTGTTGTGCCCAGGAAGACTGATGTGCCCCCTGCAAAAAAACAGGGAGAAAGAAAATTCAGAGGACCTAGAGCACATAACGTAACATATTGAAATGAAAAGTATTGCTAAACTGACTTATTTTTGGTGCTCTGGGTTACTGAGGTTAACAGTGCTACAGAATATCACAACTGCTGACTTAATACTTTTATTATAACTAGCTGAATGTGTATCTTTGTTGCAATAAGTAAAAAATCAAGAGTTTGTTTCTTGAGCTACATACACCTTGAACTTGTGTTCTATATGCAGCAGTTTGTTTTCATTACTATTATACTTCATCGACCAGGGTGAAATTCTCTTGTGAAAGTTAATGCAATAGCCTTATTCATGGCTTTGTCTTTACATGGCCAATAGTTCTAAAAGCAATGGGTTTTCCCCAATAAAATATTCTTTTGCCATTTTAAATAAATGGAACTGCCAGTTGACACTTGTCCTTTTTCTTGTGTTTGGGTAGTTCTATTATAATGTGTCTTCCAACAGTTTTCTGGTTTTCTCATTCTAAGCTTGTTTGTAGAGCTAAACACTTACAGTTCTGCAGCTTAAGGCAGTATAGATTCTTTCAATTCACAGCACCATTGCAGGACAGACTGCATTACAGGGTTCCTAGAAGGTACCTGTTCAAATAACATTTTTAATTATTGCTTACATCACACCACTGATTTTTCTTCCCCAACCAAACTTAAATAAACTCAGCTGGAATTTCTAATTTGAATTAATCAATAGGATAACTGATCCACAGCTAAGTTATGTGAACTATCAAGCTGGCCCACTTCTGCATAATTTTTCTCTACAGCTATTAAGTGACACAATCCCTTATCTAACACTTGTCAGACATACTAACTACACAAAAGGAAAGAAACTTGGTGAGATGAAGGACAGCAGGA